TTACCTTCAGCGACTGGTGCACAAGGACACCCAGGTCCCACTACACACTCCCCTCTCCCAATTTACAGCCATTCAGGTAGTAATCTTCCTTCTTGTTTTTGCTTCCAAAGTGAATAACTTCACATTTATCCAAATGGCATCTGCCCACTCACTCAACCTGTCGATCATGCTGAAGGATCTCTGCATCCTCGTCACAATTCACCCTCCCACCCAACTTGGTATCATCTGCAAACTTGGAGATGTTACATTTTGTTCCCTCATCCAAATCATTAATAGCTATTGTGAATAGCTGCGGTCCTAGCACCGATCCCTGTGGCACCCCACTAGTTACTGCGAATAATAATGTTAATAATGACAAATATTATTAAAAGCACCAAAATTGAAGAGACCCACCACCTCATCAACAATGTATTCACCGGGATTAAATTCATGAGAGAAGAAGAAAACAATGATCAGCTTCCGTTTCTGGACGTCAGGATTGAACGTATGACCAACGGGGAGTTCCAAACCTCAGAATACAGGAAAGTTACCCACACTGACCAAATTCTCAACTTCCACAGCAACCACCCCAACGTCCAGAAACAAAGCTGTATTAGGACACTATTTAAACGGCCACCACTCACTGCAACACGCCAGTACTATGCAGGAAAGAGGAAGAGCACCTATACAAAATCTTCGCTATCGGCTAGGCTACTAGCATGTATGGTTTGGCTGACTGGCAGAAGGCAGAGAATGGCAATAAAGGTGTCTTTTTCAGGATGGCAACCAGTGATTAGTGGAGTTCTGCAGGGGTCAGTTTTGGGACTACAACTATTCACACTTTGCATTAAAGATCTGGGGAAAGGAACTGAAGGCATTGTTGCTAAGATTGTAGATGAAACAAAGATAGATGGAGGGAAAGGTAGTGTTGAGGAAGTGGGAGGCTGCAGGAGGACTTGGGACAGGTGAGGAGAGTGGGCAAAGAAATAGCAAGATGGAACACCATATGGAAAAGTGTGAGATTTACACCTTGATAGGAAAAAGAGGCATAAACGATTTTCTAAATGGGAAAAGATGTCAGTTTTCTGAACCACAAAGGGACTGAGGAGTCCTAGTTCAGGATTCTCTTAAGGTGAGCATGCAGGTTCAGTTGGCAGTTAGGCAGGCAAATACAATGTTAGCACTCATTTCAAAAGGACTAGAATACAAGAGTAGGGATGGACTATAAAGCTTAGACTATAAAGTTAGACAGCATTTGTGATATTGAGAGCAGGTTTGGGTTCCATGTCTAAGGAAGGCGGTGCCGGCATTAGAGAGGGTCCAGAGGAGGTTCAGAGTGAAGGTACGACACTTTAGAATTGAGATGAGGAGGAATTTCTTCAGCCAGAGGGTAGTTAATCTGTGGAACTCATTGTTGCAGAAGGCGGTGGAGGCCAAGTCATTGAGTGTGTTTAAGTCAGAGATAAATAAGTTCTTGACTAATAAGGGCATCAGCGGTTACAGGCAGGAGGCAGGAGAATGAGGTTGAGAAACATATCATGCAAGATTGAATTGGGGAGCAGGTTCGATGAGCTGAATGGCCTAATTCTGCTCCTATATCTTATGGTTTAAAATTCACATAGAAGGCAGATAATACATCTTCCAAACAAACTTGTTACAGAGATCAAGAAGTTAAATTTCAAAACGAATGTTTCATTCATTTCAATATGATTAGCAAGGGATTATCAAGAAAGTGATCATGATAACAGTACTGGTACTTCATGAAGTAAGCAGATTGCTTGGCATTATTAGCAAACTTCCATACACACTGAAAGAGGAAAAAAAGAAGTATTTGAGATAGTAGGAACTGCCAATGCTGGAGAATCTGATATAACAAGGTGCAGAGCTGGATGAACACAGCAGGCCGAGCAGGAAAGCTGAATTTCAGGTCTAGACCCTTCTTCTGAAGAAGGGTCTAGACCCGAAACGTCAGCTTTCCTCTCGGCCTGCTGTGTTCATCCAGCTCTACACCCTGTTATATCAGTGTGCGTATTTGTGTGTGAGAGAGGAGTGAAAATAAATATAGATATGATAGATGATTGGAAGGTAGATTAGTGGGAAGACAGTCTTGGGGTTTATACATGTACAAATCACAATTAAAACAATTCTTGAAAACACAAGCCTGCTGTGCCTTCTATAACAGGTGTTGATCACTTCTCAAGCTAGCACAAATCCTGAGACAAAACATAATTTCCACTATGAATATAACCTCCTCAACAGACTCATCATTTGAGTCCAGAAGTAATACTATCTGCACCTCACTATGGATTTAGCAAGTTAATGACAATAGCATCTACAGATTTCCATTGTAATCTTTAAAGGGACACTAATTAACAACTGCCAATGTGTTAGTGACTTGATTTTTAGACATTGGTTGAACAAACATGTTGAAAGAGCAGGAACAAATTATTGCAGATGCTGGAATCTATTCTGCAATAGATCACAATAGGTCAGATAGCATCCATGGAGAAAGAGCAAGCTAACATTTCGAGTCTACTCTTCATCAGAGCTAAAAGAAACTATATATGGGACAGCATTTATGCCACAGTTTTGGAAGGGGAGGTGGGGGTAGAGGGGGTAGAGGGTGTAGGGTGCTGGTGGAGAAAAGATGTTGATAGTTCAGATTAAGTGATCGGAATTTGAGAATGGCAGAACAATGGTATGTCTCCTGCCAGACTTGAAAGGACAGAACTGGGATTGGGGGGAGGACATGAAAACAAGCTAAAAGGGAAGAAACGGGAGATAGCAAGAACTGCAGACGCTGGAGTCAGAGAAGCTCACATTGGTTGCAACGAATACAGTACACAAGATTGCGGTTACATTTCGCAGGGATCATGTCCTCTAGGATACCCTAGTCCATTCCACAAACACCAACACCACACCCTCCTCTCCAAGGCACTTTCCCATGTTACTGCAGAAGGTGCAACACTTGCCTCTTCACTTCCTCCCTGCTCATCATCCTAAGGCCTAAACAGTCTTTCCAGGTAAAGCAACATTTCATCTGTACCTCCTCCAATCTTGTGTATTGCATTCGCTGCACCCAGTGTGGCCTACTCGACATTGGAGAAACCAAACGTAGACTGGGTGACTGCTTTGTGGAACACCTCTGGTCTGTGCGCAAGAAGGATCCTGACCTTCCCGTAGCCGGTCATCTTAACACAGCATCCCACTCACACGTCCACGTGTCTGTCCTTGGCATGCTGTAGTGTTCCAGTGAATCACAGTGCAAAAGAAGATCATGACAGGTGTTTGAGGCTATCACTATTTTTCATTTGGTTTTCTCATTTTTGGGTTTGGATTGAGAGCTGCAGTTGAGATTTGAGCTTTGAGCCAGTAGCTTGTTTTAAAAAAAAAAGAACTCAAAGGAATGATGTTTGCTATTGAGAACTGGCCTGGAATGATAACACAGGTTAATTACTGCTCTAAGGACACTGCAGATGCCACGATATTGTTCTGTTCATGTGCTGGCAGCTGGTTGGATGTTGAATTGGTTAATCAAGGCAGAGGGGGTGCACTGTTAATCCAGAGACCCAGATAACATACTGGGGACCCAGGTTCGAATCCCGCCACGGCAGAAGGTAGAATTTGATTTCAATAAATATCTGGAATTAAGAATCTAATGATGACCATGAATCCATTGTCGATTGTCGGGAAAAACCCATCTGGTTCGCTAATGCCCTTTAGGCAAGGAAACTGCCATCCTTACCTGGTCTGGCCTACACGTGACTCTAGACCCACAGCAATGTGGCTGACTCGTAACTGCCCTCTGGGCAATTAAGGATAGGCAATAAATGCTGCCTAGCCAGCAACGCCCTCATCCCATGAATGAATGAAGGATTTCCTTTGATGAAGAATGCTGAAAACAGAGAGCGAACTGGGCTCTGACTAGGTTTTAAGTAGGATGCAGTTTTTGCTTTGGAAGCTGCTGGACTGCACTGGGTTTTTGGTTCTTCTGTCTCCGGTTATTGCTGAAATTTCTGAAAGAAAACCCCCGTTCTGTAGGAAGTAACTAAAAATCTCTCAAGGTCTGCAGATGCTATTTATATTAACCAGTAACTTAAGAATTCAAGCAAACCACACAGCCTTCTGTGTCTGTAATGCAAACTAACATCCAAGGATCTTACTAAATCCTGGTATTCATCACTGAAACAGTATCCAGCTGGCAACTTAGTTCTTTTTTAAAAAAATTATCTCTATACTGTGTCTGTTGGTGTGAGAGTGAGGGTTTGTGATCAAAGAAGTTTAGGCCGAGATTATGGATATTAGTTAGATTGCCTTATAGTTTATCTGTGTTCTGCAAAAGTTACATTCTTAATAATAAACTGTTAATTGTTGTTTGTTATTAATAAACTTGATGTCCGAGATCTGTTATTTGTAACATCTAGTTAGGAACAATTGGGCACTTTGAGGGTCACTGAAAGTTTTAAGATCACTGTTGCAAATTCTGTGATAGTGAGGCTAATATACTTTGGCTTACAATCTGTGTTGCAACACAGGAAGGAATAGAGAGTACAAATCAACAGATAAGGCTAGAGATCACAGAAATAATAAAAGGCCAAAACTAAAGTTTCTCTTTCTGAATGTGTGTTGTATTTGAAACAAAAAAGATAAATTGATAGTGCAATATAAATAAATGAGCACATTTTGTTCGCCATCACAGAGACACATCTACAAGGTGATATTGGAGTGTGCAGGACATTTAGGAAGAACCGGAAGCTAAGAAAATATGGAAAGGTGGTTCTGCAAATTAATGATGATATTATTACAATAGAGAGGAATAACCTTAGTTCAAGAAACCAAATTGAAGAAACAGTTTGGGTCGAGATGAGAAATAATACAACCTAAAAGTCGCTTCAGGGAGAGGCGTACGGGTCACCTAACAGAGTATAAAGGAAGAAATAATTATAGTTTTTCTTCTTCTCTTTGGCCGCCTGTTGGGATCAAGGAGACTTGCGTCCACTCCAGAGGGAGACAGGGGAGGGGTAGCAGATGGGATCTGCAGTGGCTAAACAGTCCAATCGTGGAGCTGCGGACTCTACCACAGGTAGGGCAGGAGGAGCTTGATGAGTTGGGTGAGTGATTCGCTTTGGATTCTGTGTGCTCTTTCTGCTGCTTGTGCTTTGTGCCTACTTGCTCCACTCGAAGATGCTCAAAGTAGCTGGCGCCTTTGTTAATGATTTTTCTCTAGTTTGTACATTCTAGGGCAAGTGAGGATGTTGCATTTGTTTAGGGAGGCTTTCAGGGTGTCCTTGTATTATTTCCTCTGCCCTCCTAGTGATTGCTTACCATTGAGGAACTCAAGAGTAGAACACTTGCTTAGGAAGTCTTGTTTCAGGCATACAGACAAGGTGGCCTGTCAATTGCAGCTGGTCATGCATGCCCAGAGTCGTACGGAACGGAAACAGATCCTTTGGTCCAACTCGTCCATACTGACCAGACATTTCAATCTGACCTAGTCTCATTTGCCAGCATTTGGCCCATATCCCTCTAAACACTTCCTATTCATATGCCCAACCAGACGCCTTTTAAATATAGTAATTGTACCCTACTGCACCACTTCGTCTGGTAGCTCATTCCACATACGCACCACCTTTTGCGTGAAAAAGTTGCCTCTCAGGTCCTTTTTAAATCTTTCCCCCCTAATCTTAAACCTATGCCCTCTGGTTTTGGACTTCCACACCCTAGGAAAAAAGACTTTGGCTATTCACCCTATCCATGCCCCTTATGACTTTATAAGCCGCTTTAAGGTAACCCCTCAGCCTCCAACGCTCCAGGGAAAATAACCTGAAGCTCGATACTGGGGATAATGACCTGGAAGAGGATGCTCACGTCCGCGCACCTATCGTGCCAGTGGATGTTCAGGATTTTGCAAAGGCAGCAATGGTGATAACTCTCTATGGATCTGAGATAACGGAGGTGTATGTGATACATATCAGAGGGTGGAGGACATTGGAGATGCAGAGGAATCTGGGTGTCCTTATACATGAATTGCAAAAGATTAATATGCAGGTACAGCAAATAATTAGGAAAGCTAATAGAATGATATCATTTGTTGGGAGGGGAATTAAATACAATAAAAAGGAGGGTTATGCTTCAGTCACACAGGGCACTGGTGAGACAACATCCTTGGTCTACTTTTTTAAGGATAGATGGAAATATGCTGGACCCTTCACTGAAGATTGTTGAGTCTAACACCCTGGAATTGGAAAACTGTCTAATATGGAATGTTTGGACAGGCTGGGCTTGTATCTACTGGAATTTAGAAGACACAGAAGTAACTTAATTGAAACAGAAGATCCTGAGAGATTTTAACATGGTGAATGTAAAAATAATGTGTCCTTGTGTTTGGAGAGCTTAAACTAGAAGATCACTGTTTGATAAGGGATCACCCATTTAAAATACAAATGAGGATAATTTTTTTCTGATGGAGGATCATAAGTCTTTGGACCTAACTTTTACAAAAAGAGGTGAAAAGTTCAAAAAATATGCAAGTTTATGGAGGTAGGCAGAAATATGGATTAATAAAATCAGCCACAATCTTATTGAATACTGCAGCATGTTTGTGAGGCCAAGTGGCCTACTCTTGCTCTTAGCCATATGCGCACGCACACAGAAGCTACAGGAAGTAGTTGATGCCAAAACATTGAATGTATTCAAGAGGCGGCTAGACATAGCACTTGGGGTGAATGGGATCAAAGATTATGGGGAGAAAGCAGGATGAGGCTAGAGTTGGACGAACAGCCATGATCGTGATGAATGAAAGAGTGGACTCGAAGGGCCAAATGGCCTCCTCCTGTTCCTATCTTCTATGTTTCTATGAATACACGATAAAAGTGAGTAGGAAAGAAGTAAAAAAAAAATTAGTAACTATGAATTTAACATCTTTTTATTCACTTGTGGGATGCAGGTGTCACTGGCTGGGCTAGCATTTATTTCCCATCTTTAGTTACCCTTGACAAGGTGGTGGTGAGCTGCCTTCTTGAGCCACTGCAGTCCAGGTGCTGTAGGTAGGCCCACAATGCCCTTACGGAGGGAATTTCAGGATTTTGACCCAGTGACACTGAAGGCACAGAGATTTATTTCCAGGTCGGAATGGTGATTGGCTTGAAGGAGAACTTGCAAATGATGATATTCCCAAGTATTTGCTGTTTGACCTTGATGGAAGTGGTCGTGGATTTGGAAAGTGCCTTCTAAGGTGAATTTCTGCAGTGCATTTTGTAGATAGTACACACTACTGCTAATGACCTTTGGTGGTGGAGTGGGTGGATGTTTGCGGCTGTGGTACCAATCAAGCAGTCTGCTTTGACCTGGATGGTATCAAGTTTCTTAAATGTTGTTGGAGCTGCACTCATCCAGGCAAGTGGGGAGTCAGTAGGCGAGTTACTCACTGCAGTATTCCTAGCCTCTGGCCTGCTCTTGTAGCCGGTGTGTTTATGTGGTGACTCCAGTTAAGTTTCCAGTCAATGGTAACGCCCCCTCCCTAGGATGCTGTTGTGGGGGATTCAGCGATGACCACACCATTGAATGTCAATGGCTGGTGGTTAGATTATCCGTTATTGGTGATGGTCATTGCCTGACATTTGCGTGGTGTGAATGTTACTTGCCACTTGTTAGCCCAAGCCCAGATATTGTGCATATCTTGTTGCATTTGAACATTGACTGCTTCAGTATCTGAGGAGTTACAAAGTGGTGCTGACATTTATGCAATCATCTACAAACATCTCTGACCTTATGATGGAGGGAGGTCATTGATGAAGCGACTAAAGATAGTTGGGTCCAGGTCACTACCCTGAGGAACTCCTGCAGAGATTCTCTGCAGCGGAGATGACTGAGCTCCAACAACCACAACTATCTTCCTCTGTGCCAAGTATGATTCCAACCAGTGGACAGTTTGCCCCGTTTCCCATTGGCCCCAGTTTCGCTAGAGTTCCTTGATACCAGACGCAGTCAAATGCGGCCTTGGTGTCCAGGGATACTGAAGAACAAAAAAGAAGTTTTGTGTATCTTGTTGTAATGATAATTTATAACATTATTATTTGAGAACTTGGATTCCAAAGTCGAGATAAATGGGTTTTCAGTTTTCAGTGTTGTAAAGATCTGAATTTTTTTTTAAAAAGAAAAGATTTGAAAGTCATTTGGAACAGTGAACTAAAGATAGCCTTTCAGAGAAGTCAAGTGATTTAAGCTAAATGACTGTACAAGCTACCTGGTGAGATAATTGCTTTTTATTGTTGATTTGAGCTTTTATGATCTACAGAAGAGGCCAGAAGCAGGTTGCAGTTCAGAAGAGGAGATGCAAATAGGAGATATGCTGCTTAGCAACTTAAAGGTAACTAAAGCCATGACTTTATTTCTTAGAGTTCAGTCAAAAAAGTCAAGGGTTAGCACAGATAGCAGTGTCCCTTGCTAAGAGACAGACAGACAATAGCATCTGATGAAAATATAGTAAGTCACCACAAGGAAATGCTTGTGACCTCAACAGTTCAGCAAGAAGTTTTAAAGTTTTAAAATTCATGTCTTACCAACTTGATAGAATTCTTTGAGGAAGTGACAAAGTGGATAGATGAGAGAAGGGCTATAGATGTCAGAAACATGGATTTCAGTAAGGCGTTTGATAAGGTTCCCCATGGTAGGCTGATGGAGAAAGTGAAGTCGCATGGGGTCCAGGGGGTACTAGCTACATGGATAGAGAACTAGCTGGGCAACAGGAACAGGCCCTTCGGCCCTCCAAGCCTGCGCCGATCCAGATCCTCTATCTAAACCTGTCGCCTATTTTCCAAGGATCTGTATCCCTCTGCTCCCTGCCCATTCATGTATCTGTCTAGATACATCTTAAATGACGCTATCGTGTCCGCCTCTACCACCTCTGCTGGCAACGCGTTCCAGGCACCCACCACCCTCTGCATGAAGAACTTTCCACGCATATCTCCCTTAAACTTTTCCCCTCTCACCTTGAAATCATGACCCCTAGTAATCGAGTCCCCCACTCTTGGAAAAAGTTTCTTGCTATCCACCCTGTCTATACCTCTCATGATTTTGTAGACCGCAATCAATTCCCCCCTCAACCTCCGTCTTTCTAATGTAAATAATCCTAATCTACTCAACATCTCTTCATAGCTAGCACCCTCCATACCAGGCAACATCCTGGTGAACCTCCTCTGCACCCTCTCCAAAGCATCCACATCCCTTTGGTAATGTGGCGACCAGAACTGTATGCAGTATTCCAAATGTGGTCGAACCAAAGTCCTATACAACTGTAACATGACCTGCCAACTCTTGTACTCAATACCCCGTCTGATGAATGAAAGCATGCCGTATGCCTTCTTGACCACTCTATTGACCTGCGTTCACCTTCAGGATACAATGGACCTGAACACCCAGATCTCTCTGTGCATCAATTTTCCCCAGGGCTTTTCCATTTACCACATAGTTCGCTCTTGGATTGGATCTTCCAAAATGCATCACCTCGCATTTGCCTGGATTGAACTTCATCTGCCATTTCTCCGCCCAACTCTCCAATCTATCTATATTCTGCTGCATTCTCCAACAGTCCCCTTCACTCTCTGCTACTCCACCAATCTTAGTGTCATCTGCAAACTTGCTAATCAGACCATCTATACCTTCCTCCAGATCATTTATGTATATCACAAACAACAGTGGTCCCAACACGGATCCCTGTGGAACACCACTGGTCACAGTTCTCCATTTTGAGAAACTCCCTTCCACTACAACTCTTTGTCTCCTGTTGCCAGCCAGTTTTCTATCCATCTAGCTAGTACACCCTGGACCCCATGCGACTTCACTTTTTCCATCAGCCTACTATGGGGAACCTTATCAAACGCCTTACTGAAGTCCATGTATATGACACCTGCAGCCCTTCCCTCATCTATCAACTTTGTCACTTCCTCAAAGAATTCTATCAAGTTGGTAAGACATGACCTTCCCTGCACAAAACCATGCTGCCTATCACTAATAAGCCCATTTTCTTCCAAATGTAAATGGATCCTATCCCTCAGTATCTTCTCCAGGAGCTTCCCCACCACTGACGTCTGGCTCACTGGTTTATAATTAC